TTCTTCTTCTTCTTCTAGCTGCTGTATTCTTAAAATGATTTCGAATTTTAAAAAATAAATTTATTTAAAAAAAAATGTGAAAAGAATTGATTTTTTCCATCACATGGGATTTCCGCACGAAAACAGTTACATTGCTTGTTCAGTTAAAGATCTTTTATAAGAATTGTGAATATGATTAAATATGTAATATGTATATGCAAGTAATAACCCAATACCCACAAGCAGCCTTATGTTCTGTAGTTGAACAAAAAATTACTCATACGCCACCGCCTTTGGCTAAAACTGTTGAAGATAAATACATATATTTTCACATTTCTCAATGGAAATCTTTAACCTTATAAATCTAATTATAAATTCACTTGTTATTGACCCCAGCTGGGTTTGCTTCCTTACGCAAGGATACTCCCCTCTATAAATAGATAATATGATAATATCTTTATATTTTTAGGTTACATTGCTAATAGTCCTTACCATTTTGTCTCAAAGTGAAGCTTCTGTAGTGCGCCTATTAACGGAGACGCTGCAGAACAATGTTGCTGGTGAACCCATAACACATGTGCGCACAGAATGGGACTTTGACYCGGAAGTAAGCCAGAAACGACGCGCGCTCTTCTATGAGGTACGAAGTATTTACTCCTCTTTTATAATTGGTGTACTAGTATATGTTTCTATGTATCTTTTCACAGACCCACGGCTATCGAGCGGCCAAATTTATTGAGCGTATCGGYTTGGGACTCGATGGACATGAAGAGGAACGACGGGCGGAGCAGCGAGCGCGTGATGTCGGACGCMTSAATGGCGAACATAATATCAACTTTCCACCAGAACCACAAGCGCAGTATGCATAAGGGTACGCATGAGTAGCAAATTATGTCGCTAATATAGAAATTTAGTATTAAATAGCAGTTCGTTAAACATTAAGATAAATAAAAAGYGAAGAAGTCGGTAAAWCCAAGCTGCGAGTAGCTGAGTTCTTGAATGTCATTCGAATGTGGCTGAATGCACGAAATCATTGAGACTTACGCATATACTTACACACATGCATGCATACGCACACCAACAATGCGCATGCATGAGGGGGCTGTGGTATGTGGGGCATTGTCATCATTTTAATTTGCAGCGATTACTTTTCAATTGTGCTTCTGCATGTTGTTCACGTTGTAGTTGTTGTTGATGATGTTGTTGGCATTACATATAATGTGCTTCACAAGGATTTGCATAATTTGTCATTGGCGGTGGATAAATAGCAAAACAGCTCCGGGGCAAGCACGGCGAGAGGCGGGAGGGGCTGCACTGCGGCGGAGATGATTAAAATCTCGTACGCATTTAATAAACGTTATTAGCGCATTGTTAAGCTCATTCCACCGCCGATGTTGAAACGGCCCTTATTATTATTGTTGTTGTTGCAGCAGTTGGTTGCCAGCTGCAGTCACGCTGCACAAGCACTCAGCGCGTAGTTACATTATTTGCTTTGCTCTTCTTTTGGTTGACTGATTGTTCTCTCGCAAGCGCACAAGTGCACACACACACACATACATACACGCACATGCACAACCGTACAATTGCATGCTCGTCCACAGTGATGTGCAAATAAATTCCGACTTTTATTGTTGGCATTTGCCTGTTGAGTGCGCGGTAGGGGGTGGGGAGGGGGGTCGGCTTTGCATTACGGCAAAGTAACGCAAAGTAACGGTACCTACAATTGCTGTAATTACATTTCGCTGTAAACAATGCACTTCATAATTTCATAATACGGCGCATAATTTGAGCCAATTTTCTACTTACATAATCAGGACATTCGCCGAAGCGAGCGTGGAGCGGTGCAYGGTGCGCGGTGAGCGSTGAGTAATGTGCATCGGCTTACGACCAAGAGTAGWGTGCTTACTTGCAGTGYAAGTTATGCGYCGCTTTTGTTGCATATTTTTAGGCAGCAATGCGTTGATCGTCATAATGAGCCGTATTTGCCAGTAACGACGTTTGTGTGGCGAAATTCCGATTCTTTTACATGAAAAAATGTCTCTCAGGCATTTTTAGTTCCTTGTTTGAGTATAAACTGTTTTTTGAGAATTTTTTGAACAGGAAATTTTTTTATAAATAAAACAAATGTACTATTACAGAGGTTAGTGTTGAGCAGGCATCTATGGTTGAAACATTTTTTAAAGTGGGCGTGACCCCACCTTTAAATAAATTTATCATATATATTTCCTAAACCATTCAAACAAAAAAAATTATTCATGGCAGATAATTTTGGCATCTCTACCTACTCTGTGAAAATGGGAGAATTGGGATTATGTAAACTCGCCTTATTTCCATATAACGATTTTGTCAATTACTAAAAGTTACAAAAAATATTACACTACCGCTTCCATACCTCTTAAACTACTAGACCGATTTCCGAATACAGTGAATATCAGCGAAATCAGACAAAAACCACGCCTACTTTCCCAATAACACAATATTAAATTTCATCTAACTATTACAGAGTATAAATCAAACATCATTGAAGTTATCAGAATAAATCCTTGCAAAAACGATGCCCTCCAGTAAATATTTCCATGATGACAGCATGCACTTGTGCAAAAAAGTAAAAAAGCGCAGCCTTAGTTTAATACTTCCCAAAATCAAAATTTACATGTACATGGAGAATCAGAAAAGGAGAAATATACTTTTTTCTACAAATGTATTTCTTGAAAGAAAAAAAAAAGATTTCATGTTTTTGGACTATAATAATTGTTGTATAAATTTTGTATACCAATWAAAATAAGAAATTTAATATGAGCAATGATATTTTGATTTATGCTTCTATAAGTTTATTAAATTTAAGACTTTGCTCGTTCTCCATTTTGTATAATTTTCACGCAAATTAACAATATTAAACTAMATATAAAAATTTTTTGGAACAATGTATTAAATTATTTTGAAAATGTACTTTATATTTATAATTTAACACAACCGTTTTAATACTCGCTCTACTAAATTTAATATTACCGTAATGAAGCTGCCGTCGGCATATGTGTAGATGGGATGAGGCAACTTCGAAATTTTTCTAGAAATGCGAACTGATCTGTCAAACTTCTGAAGTGACAGTTCATAGCTTTCATTATATGTGAAATTAAATAGTATACCATATATTGTATTCCATAAGCAATATGAAGTCTCCACAGGCAATACGCACAGCAATACAGTAAATTTTTGCCTGTCGAAATTCCCCGTTAATAACAGACTTACAGACAGCTATGTCAATTATGTTAACATTAGAAAAGTAAAAGAATTTGTCAAAATCAACTCTCATCTTCTTCTATGAATTGATTCAACGCAAATTAGTTAATGTTTTGGTWATGAAGTGCGTCATACATATACATATGTATACATACATTAGTCTTTTCGTATTTCGTCAATAGAAGTCGTTGCAGTCGTATATCTCCAGTCATATATCACCAGTCTCATATTGTGTCATACCATATAGTGTTATAAAGGTTAGATTTTAAGCTTTATTTAACCAAAATTTAATTCGGTGAAGTTGAAAAAAAGTTACAGCTGTTCAAAAATGAATGAAAATAATGAAGAAATTTGCCATATTTTGAAATTTTTAAATAAAAAAGGAAAGAATGACACGCAAGTCTCCAATGAAATTTGTGACGTTTAAGGAGACGATGCCACAACAGATCGTGTCGTAGAACAATGGTTCGCTCGCTTCCGTTCTGGAAATTTCGTTGTGAAAAATGCACGTCRCCCTGGTCGATCTATCGTTGAAAAAGTCGATTAAATTATGGAAAAGATTGATCAGGATGTTCACATAAGCAGCCATGACATAGCTGAGGAACTTAACATWCATCAACAAACGGTTTTCAACCATTTAAAAAAGGCTGGCTACAAAGAGAACTCGATGTTTGGCTACCGCATGCATTGTCTGTGTAAAATTTAGTGAACCGAATTAACAACTGCAAAATTTTACTGAAACGAAATGAAATCGAACTATTTCTAAAGCGACCAAATACGACAATAATGGTGAAAAATGTGGTCCAAACGTGGTCCAAACGTGGTGAAGCTCAACAAATGGTTGCAAAGCCAGGATGGACGTCTCGAAAGGTTATGTTGAATGTTTGGTGGGATTTGAAGGGAATCATCCACTATGAGCTGCTGCACAATTGTCGAACGATTGATTCTACATTTTACTATCAACAACTGATGAAGCAAGCAAACGAAAAGAAATGGCCAGAACCAATCAACAGAAAGTGGTGCGTTTTCCATTGAGATAACGCTAGGCCAGACACATCTTTGATGACTCGGCTAAAACTGGGAGAGCTTGGCTGGGAAGTTTTAATGCATTCACTGTATAGACCTGACCTTGCACCATTGGTATATTTGTTTCGGTCGATGCAGAACTCAATTAATTGAGTAAATTTGGCTACAAGAGCAGCCTGAGAAAACTACTTGACGCATTTTTTCGAAAGAAAAGTTTTACACTGATGAAATAATGTTCCTGGCGGAAAAATAAAAAAAAGTGGTCGACCAAAATGGTATTTACTATAAATAAAAAAAAAAATAAGTTGAAGTTTGATTAGAAATACGAAAATACTTTTGCGACTACCCAATATTTATTACGGTTACATACTTTATTATCTGAAAATATATATTTATTATCAAATATTATCCAATTTTGACTCGTAATGTAATATAGATAGGTTTTAAGTTAGTAATTGTATAGAAGTTATCATAAATTGAAAACTATAATTTCCAACTACTTAATTGCAACACATTAGCAGAAATAAATGCTGAATTTATTTGTATTCGAGCAAAAAATGAATGCACTGTTGCAATGGATCAGCCATCAGCCATCAGGATATCGGTAATGTGTTAGGTAAACGCCGTTAGCGTTGGAAATTTCATTATGTCGCCGACTCATACCCGATAAAGCGAAGYCAACGCAGGCAAATGGTTGAAAATCATCGCCATATATACATATAGATAAAGGTACACATATGTACATATGTATGTAGATACCTGCAAATTATTTATTATTGTCTTTTGTGTGATGAGGTGATTACTTTAATGTCGGGGTAAGCGCATAGTAAATAAATATATGCGTGTGTGGCTGTATGCGTGGCAATAATTGCGATAACACCATAAAATTGTTTAATAAATTGTTAATATAACATCGTTAATAATAAATGTGTTGTGCAAATGACAACAAATAAAAAGGCAGTGTGTGTGTGTGTGCGTTTGATATTGTGTGTTTGTTTAACGTGGGAATTTTCGCTCGCTGCACAGCCGGTCACATCGCTGTTGTGGTTTATGACACTAATTTAATATAACCGACATCCAAATGAAATTGTTAAAGGAATAATGCAATGAATTTAATCATACTTACTCGCATTTATGCACCTATATATGCGATACATACATATACTTAGTTGTAATTGTAGTTTGGTACATTCTGTTATATAAGCGCCGAGATTGATTGCTGTTGTTGCACCTGTGGCAATGTTAAGAAAACGTGCTGGATATACAATAAGAGAGAGTCCACCATTGATGTACTAAACAAAGTCTTTGACGACCATTAATACACACTGTTGAAGGCACCAAGCGCTTTATTTTGAGTGGKTTCGGTTCTAGGCCTTTTCCATGGAACCTAATAWATGAGGRGGTGCTAAGGAGACACCAWCCAAAAGCCGTTAAATTAATTGCATACGCAGACGCCTTTACCTAGATGACCCTCGGAGCAAAAGCAATGAGARCATAAACGGTCTGCGGCTATGGTTCTCCTTAAGGGTTTTAGAAAAGGATAAAAATAGAAGTCTAGAAGGAAAGTATTATATATCTCTCATCATAGGGGTGTGTGAGATACATTCACAGCCTCAACTAAAGTATCTGAGAGTAATAACAGACTTAAGGCTCAATCTTAAGGATCATCTCGAATACACTGGAGGCAAAGCGAATAAAGTMCTAAACGCCTTATCAAGAATGATGGTAAATAAAGGCTGCGTGCATCAGGGATTTTGTCTTCCAAAGGTAATGAGATCGTTTGTATTATGTGAAGTTCCAATATGCACCCAGCCACTAGGCATTAAAGCATATRACAGACAAATAAGCACAGTGCWCAGGCTGTCGGCACTAAKRGTTMTCAGTGCTTTTCGAACAATATTAAGCGAAGCTGCCCAAGTAATAGCCAATGCAGCAGCAATAATGACAAACCTTAGTCAAAGTATGTTGAATCCACAGACTGTTACCGTACATCCATTCGTGGATAGTTAGACGACGTGGGGACCTGAATTTCCACATAATCCAAATACTAAGTGGATATGGGTGCTTTAGAAGCGTTTAGAAATCTGTACAGATTCCAGCACGACATTAGTCCGAATTGTTCGACGTGTTCAGAGTGCTTTGAAGATGAAGTGGTGGCCTCAATCACGATAAAACTGAGACATATAGAGATGTCCGTCAGTCCGTGCCTTAAATGAGACTTTAATGTGGTATCACTCCCACGAAGCAATCACGGTGGTTCCGTAGGAGAGTCTAGAGCTTGAAGTTGGTTGCGTTTAGCGGATTGAAACTCCGCATCCTGGCTTTTAATGCTTCCCCCTACTTAAACCTAAAAAACGCTGTAACGTCAGCGAATGTTTTCAGMGTATAGGAGTGTATTTTTATTCCAAGATTACATAGTAAATTATGGTTTTTCCTCTGTCGGAGCTTGAGCCCATAACTCACCGAGGGATAGCCACGTGCCAAAGAAAATTTCGCCTTTGGCTGCAAAACCCATTACTTCATCTTTTTTACATATGTGTATATTCCTCTCATTGAAATGACCATATTTGACAGACTGGTTTACGGGTTCCTATGTAACAGAATACCAGCCTTTCCAACCACAATCATATGGGTTATTTCATTATCACGCCGCGACGTTGATTGGTTTCGATTGCCATCGATTAACTCTGCTCTACAATACGCGCTACATGCCCACAATGCATGTGTGTGGGCACTGTAACAATTGTTGGTTGTTGGTTGTCGTTAGTGCTGCTTCATGTAGTTCATTATCGCTTCATTAAAGCAAACTTATTGACTCTATTGACTCGCTGCGTGCCCACTTAACCGCTCGAGATTACAGCGAATGAATGTTAAATGCCAGAAATTTGACTGATATTAATATACACACATAAATACATGATGAAATCAGATGAAATGATGTGTGCATTATCTGTTTAAAGCTCATACAAGTGAGTTCCACATATTGTACAAAGATATATACAATGTGGTGTAAATATGTAGTATTGGACAGCTTATGAGTAATCACGCGTCAATTTTCGACACTTTATTCATAATAAAATTTATTACACTCGAACATCATGTACACTTCGCACTACAAAATCACACATTGACGTTGATAATAACAATAACCACAATTCAGCGAGTATTACACACACATATATACACATGAATATGAATTCATATTTAGAATTGTCAAAATAATGCAATAAATTCATAGTTAGCACTGAAGTACCATTGGAGCTGCACATTTGAGGGTTAAAGCCCGCATTTATATCATCAAACGTATGTTCATTTATATGTGTGTGTGCCTGCATTGCTGCAAGTGGTATTTGTATTGGGCGACGTTTGTATGAGTGCTGACTTGAATTGCTTTGAGAGTGGATTATCAATAGAATAAATGTCCGAAATTGCGGTTATGAACGCTGCAC